CAGTGTAGGTTTTTCAGAACAGACCTGCTCGCTGAACCCTACACTATGCTGTCCCTCAGTAATTTGGATTTAACTGAGAATTTTCAAATGCCACTTCCTAGTTGTTCTTCAAAATACAGAAAAGATTCCTTCTCCTTCCCTCCCACACTCCTCGCTGGCTAAATTACCTCTTTGTGGTCTACATCCAATGCATCCGGGGCCTTTGCCAGTCATCCTGACTTCTGTCCTGTCACTGAACTTGGATGACTCAGGAAGAGAGAGTGAGGCTGAGTACTTCTAGCAACTCTGCCTCACTTAATCCAATTCACCTACAAGTCAATACGTCACCCACGATGTCATCTGTCCTCTTCGAAAACAAAGAACGAACAGCAATAAGAGGAATGAAATGTAAACCAACTCTGAGGTTTCACTTCACGGCTCTCAACGTGGCAAAGATGAAAAAATATGTAAATAGTCAAATTAGAGGTATTGTGGGAAGGCAGGAATACTAACACACTGTTCATGGAGCTGTGGAGTAGTGAATATATACAACATTTCTGGAAAAGAATTTTGAACTATGCCAAAAAATTCAATAATATGCTTCTACCTTTTGAGATTCCACTCTTGGACATATATATTAAGTGGGCCAAAGACAAGAAAAAATGCCCCATATATATATATATATATATATTTATATATAAATAGCAGCACCATGGTAACAAATATCTGAAAACAAAGTGAGTACCTGTCAATTACAGAGCAGCTAGAGAAGTTATGGTATAGGAATGTAATAGGATATTATTATTGTACCATAAGAAATAATGAAATCAAAGGTCTGGATAAATATAAGAAAAAAGAAAGAAATTACAAATATGAGGAATTCAGAGAAATGTGGGACAACATGAAATTATATAAATCAAAGCAGAATAAAGGGAATAATATATACAATTACTACAATAATATAAATAAACAACATTAAAAGTCAGTCAAAATCTATTAAATAGTCATCACCATCAATTATCATCACTCTGGTCTCAGAGAACTAATGAGATAAGGAACTGTAAAAAACACCCATGTTGGTTTTGTTTAAAGGATTGTTGTTATTATTTAGTTGTTATGCTAAATTAGGTAGCTCAGAGGATAGAGTGCCAGGTCTGAAGTCAGAAAGACTCATCTTCTTGAATTCAAATCTGGCCTCAAACACTTATTATCTGTGTGACCCTGGGCAAGTCATTTAACCCTGTTTGCCTCAGTTCCTCATCTGGAAAATGAGCTGGAAAAGGTAAAAGTAAAACTACTTTAGTATCTTTGTTTTGTTTTTTAGGTAATTGGGGTTAAGTGACTTGCCCAGGGTCACACAGCTAGTAAGTGTCAAGTGTTTGGTATGAGGCCAAATTTAAACTCAGGTCCTCCTGACTTCAGGGATGGTGCTCTATCTACTGCGCCACCTAGCTGCCCTTACTTCAATATCTTTGCCAAGAAAACCGTAAATGGGGTCACGAAAAATCAAACACAACCAAAATGACTGAACAGCAACAACAAAAAGTTGTTAGAAGAGACAATTCGATAGTAGATTTTTGAGGGATGTTTCAAGTGAAATGACTATGACAAAAACAGTGTATCATTAAAACTTTAAAAAAAATTAGATGACACATTCCTATTTTCTGTTCAAAATTGGTTTAAAAAACTTTATTTTTCAGGAAGACACTTTGTAAAAAGTTTTATTTGACCTTTCATTGAAAAGTATAGTTATCTCTTCCACATCATGGGGGTTAAGGGCACAGAGCCCCAGTGATCTGGAAAACACACATAAAATGTTTTGATCCTCCTTTCTTACCAGAGTAGAAGTCTTAATTTTTTCTTTTTCTTTTATGGGGTGTTTATGGTACCTTATTGTAAAATTTGGGTTAAGTATTTGCTCATAGTCTCTGTGTCATCTGCTGGATTTCACATGTTGTCTGTTTCTATCATTTCTATTTCAGGAACTAGTTTCTTCTTTTGGGTCACATTCAGGACCAGAATAGTAATTCTGCCTATCGTTTCTTTTCAAATAATGAATATTTGGGTCTATGATAATCAAACTACAAGTTAGGGGTTTCTAAAAGAGTGAAGCAATTGTTAGAAACCAGGCAGTTTCTAGAAAATCCTTCTCTAATATAAGTATTCTTTCTTATTAGCATAGTTTGATTTCTTGTTTCTAGAATTTCATTCTTGAAATTCAGAGGTTTCTCTGAATCCATTTCTTTTGTCATTTCTTGAAGGATGATAATATTTCATTATATTCATATGCCATAATTATTCAGCCATTCCTCAATAGAGGGGTACCTAGTTGCTACCAAAAATGCTATTGTAAATATTTTTGTACATATGAGTCCTTTTTCTTTGTCTTTAATCTCTTTGGCACGCCCCTTATAGTGATATTGTTGAACCAAAGGGTATTCATAGTTTAGTGACATTTTGGAAAACTCCAATTTGCTTTCCTGAATGGCAGGACTAATTGACATTTCCAATAATAGAGTGTTAATGTAGGTGTTGTCTGATAGCCCTTCCAATAGCTGTCATTTCCCCTTTGTATCAACTTTGCCAACCTGATATATGTGACATGTAGCTTTAGAGTTTTTAAAATTTTCATTTTTCTTATTATTAGTGATTTGAAGCATTTTTTTCATGTGGCTGTTGATAGGTTGTATTTCTTCTTCTGAGAATTGTTTGCTGATATCCTTTGCCCATTTCTTTATCAGAGGAATCATTCTTGTTACCTAAAATTTTGGATGTCAGATATTTGTCAGAGAAGTTTCTGCAAAGATTTTTCCCCCAAGTTAACTGTTTCTCCTCTAATTCTTACTGCATTGTTTTAGTTTATGCAAAAACTTCAATTTCATATAATCAAAATTTTTCATTTAATCTTTTGTGATCCTTTTTCTATCTCATTTGGCCAAGACTTCTCTCCCTAAGCATAGTAGTGAATTCTTGAATTTTCCTCTAATTTTTTTATGGTATGGCCATTTATATTTAGGTCACATATTCATTTAGAGCTTACTGTGGTCTGAGGTATGAGATGCTGATGTAAGCTTAATTTTTCCCAGGCTCTTTTCCAGTTTTCCCAGCAGTTTTTGTCAATTAGTGAGTCTTTAGTTAGAATCTTTGGATTTATCAAACACTATACTACTGTTTGATTGGGTTTTTTTTATATTTTGTTCCTAATCTGTACCATTGATCAACTTTTCTAATTTTTAACCAGCACAAAATTGTTTAATGATTACTCTTTTGTTATATAGCTTCAGATCTGGCTCTTCTAAGGCAGAGCTGTACAACATGTGGCCTGTGGGTCACTTGAGGCCCACGAAAGGATTTTTGGGGTGGGGGTTGGGAACCCACCACTGCTCATTTTTGTCCTATTTGTCACGTGACCCAAAGCAACCAACCATCATCAGCCTGTCTTTAGTTATCTTCACTTGGAAAGCGAGCTACTAAAAACCTGTCGGCAGCACGAAGTTTAGCCTATTTTAATTTTGGCCCCTACCTACTACCAAGTTGTGCAGGTCTATTCTAGGCCTTTGTTTCCCACTTTTGTTTTTTAGCCTTTCTCTTAAGATTTTTGGTTCCTCCGGATAAATTTGGTTATAGTTTCACCTAGTTCTATATCTTTGATAGTTGGGTTGATGCAATATTGAATTTGTACAAATATTTACATAATATTATCATTTTTATATCAGTATGGCCTGAACATAAGAAGTTAATTCCTGTCCACTTATTTAAGTCTGCCTTTATTTTTTGTTGAGTGCTTTATAGTTTGATTCATATAATTCCTGAGTGTATAAGATGACTCAGGTATTTTATAAATGTTCAGTTATTCTGAATAAAGTATTTTTTTATGTCTCATTCTACTAGGTTTTATTGGTAATATATAGGATATCTGGTGATTTTGTGCATTTATTTTATGTTTTGCTACTTTGTTGAAATTGTCATTTTAGTTAATTTTAGTTGAGTTCCAAGGTTCTCTAAGTAAACCACAATGTCATCTACAAAAGCAATAATTTTGTTTCTTATTTTCCTATGATTTTTTGTTTTATTATTATAGCAAATAACTTGAAATATGTCAAATAATAGGTAACAATGGACATCCTTGTCTTATTGGAAAGGCTTCTAGTGTTTCTCCATTACAGATAATGTTAGTTCTTGGTATTAGATAGATCCTACTTATCCTATCAAGGAAAGATTCACTTATTCCTATGCTTTCTAGTGCCTTTAACATAAAGGGATGTTTTGTCAAAAGCTTTGTCTCAGTCTCCTCTCAGACCCTTGTGGATTTAGGCCTTAGCTGCTTTTCTTTTGCTTCTCTTTTCATAGTACACAGTTAAGAATTGGCTTCATCCCTGGTGTGGTCCTAAAGAGCCCCAGTTGGAGTATTAGAGATCACTCAGGCCTCAGGCCTCTAGTGTCCAGGTACTGAGTTGGTCCTGTATCCTCCTGTGGTTTCCAGTATTTGGTCTCACTGCCTAGTGCTATTAAGGCCAACTTCTATTTTCTGCTTCTGTTCTGAGAGGCCAGGGCTGGGTTCCAACTTCAAGCATCTAATTACTAGAGATGGTCCTGATTTATGAGGCCTTTGTTCAGAGTCCTGGCTGATTTCAGATCCCTGGTCAACCTGCCTAAATTCTAGACACCATTGCCTCCACTTTTACCTGAGTTGGCTTACCCAAACCTTATACCAGTCTCTACAGTCTTTTGACTGTCTTTTTGTGCAGTTCCAGACTGACTGGAGGATATTACTTCTCTTTCTTTTACAGACTTTCGTTGTGGTGCCTATGTAAGAGTTAGGCACGTGCCTGGTGAGAAGGAAAGTAAGGGTAAGGATTTTCAACCCTAGAGTGGAGTGGAGCAGGGTTTCTTGACTGAAAGGGACTTCCTTGTGAGGAAGTCAAGGGAGCAGCCTCGATCTCACTGGGGAGTGGGAATAGGGTCGGGGAGAGCACTGGGAAATCAGAATAGGAGGGAGAAAACAGATACATGGAAGAGAATCCGTTCTCATAGTTTTATTTTACTTTTTTAAGGCAATTTGTGGGGGCCTTGAGAGCCAGATGTTGAAGTGCCAGGTTCGGAATGGGGTTCTTAGATCCTGTAGTAAAAGGGAATTCTAGGAGACCCTCAGCTCCTCTCCAGTTTTTGCACCAGGGAAGGGTGGGTCTCCTTCAGAGCTTCTAAGAGCTGGTCTTTACATGTATCATCCCAGGCTCGCATAAAGCTGTAGAGCCTCCTCATCTGGTTTTGAGGGGTGTTCTCAGCCCTGATTGCTTCATAGTGCTCTGGATTCAGAATATGCCCACACAACCGATCAAGGACTTGATCCACCAGGGTGACATTACTGATGAGGCTTGCCCGGTGCTTATCCACAAAATGTATTCCTGGAGTGCATTGGACATAGAGAAAAACAGAGAATGGATGAGATGATGACTTACAGGAGGAGAGACAACAGTTAAACAGAAAGTGGGAGTATGGTTAGCTCCTGGGAGGGAGAACAACCCCTCAGACCCACAAGGGAAGGAATAGAGGAGGAAGGATGGATACTCCACCCACTGAGATTGATCCTTGGTTAGCCCTACGGTAGGGAAAGCCCTTCCATACAACTATGTTTTGTTACCCCAAGGCTTTCTCCTCCTTTCTCCCCCATAAAAACCCTCAATAACTGATAACTATAACTTCTGAATCTTCAATGGGACCATTTGCCCATGCCTTTTAGCTAATCCATCTCTTTCCTCTCCCTCATATCTCCACTAAAAGTTGGTCTCCTGTGAAAAGTATTCCCTGACTAACCCCACTTGCTCACTACCTCCCTTCTTCATCTGACACTTCCATTCGTTCTACAATCCTTGAACCAACATTTTGAATTAACAGAAGCTCTGGTCCCAGAGTTTCCAAGAATAGGCAAGCCTAAATTTAAACATCCTTCATGGCTTCTTTAAAAAGCCACCACTCCCAGAGCATTGAATTGGGATTCTTTGGATTCATAGAATTGGAATTATTTATCAATAATCGTTTGAGAGCATGTCCAATATAAAAGCACTATAAAGCAAAGTCCACTGGCATATGTTTTGTGACATGTTGACATTAAAGAAAGATGCACATGAAATATTCCCTTGGCTCAGTTTCTATTTCTTTTTTGATGTCTTCCTCTCATGCTCCTTCCATCTTCTGGCACTTACCAAGACTTGGCTCACTTTCTGGAGAAGACTGTCTCCACTCTCTAATCTTCATCCTTACCATCCCTGTTAGCTATCATCCTGTCTCTTCTCTCTTCTCTTCTCACTCTTCCTAACCTTCCGTAATCTGACTAGTGACCTCATCCATCATCTCAAACTTCTCTCTCAAACATCACCAACGCTCCTTAATTGCCAAATCTGATAGTCTTTTCTCATCCTTTTAGTCCACTTTGCAGCATTTGACATAGTTGACCAAGATGACACAGTGGAGAATACCTTGGATCTAGAATCTGAAGATCTGGGTTCAAATCTTGCTTGATCTTCGGCAAATTACTTAACCTCCTTAGGTCTTGCTTTTCTCATCTACAAAATGAGGAGGTTGGATTAGACGGCCTCTGAGGGCCCTTTCAGCTCTAAATCAATGATCCTATGATCCTCCTGGATATTATCGCATCTCTGGGTTTTCATGATACTGCTTTCTTTGGATCTCCCCCTATCTGTTCCTTCTTGTTCTTCTTTGTTGGATCATCATTCATGTTTCGTCCTCTAACTGTGAGTGTTTCTCAAGGCTCCAACATGGTTCCCCTTCTCTTTTCTCACTCAACTCCTCTCACTTGGTGATCTTATCAGCTACCATAGTTTTGATTATTATCTTTATGCAGATAACATGCATCTCAAATTCAACATGTCCAAAACAGAACTCATTGTTTTTCACCCTAAACTCATCCCTCTGCTGAACTTCTCAATTTTTATTGAAGTAACACAAAACTTCTAGTCATTGAGTTTTCTAATCTTGTGTGTGTGTGTGTGTGTGTGTGTGTGTGTGTGTCCCCTCAACTCTATTCACATGGTTACCATCTTAGTTCAGGGTAGTAATATCTCACCTGGACCATTGCAATAGTTATCCCAGTTGGTCTTAAGTCTCTCCCTACTCCAGTCTATCCTCTACATAGACACTAAAGTGATTTCCGTAAAATGCAAATCTGACTATGCCAACCTACAACTCAACAAACTCCAGCGGCTTCCTATTATGTTGAGAATCAAAAACAAACTCCTCTAACAGTTAAAGCTTGACACAACCTGGCCTCTTCCTATTTTTCCAGTCTACTTATACTTATATATGCAATCTACAGTCTAATGATAATTGATGTCCTACACGCAGGATAGTCTATCCCCATCTCCATTACTTTGTACTGCCTTATGCCTAGAATTGTTCTCTCTACTCACTTCTGTCTCTTGGAGTCTCTAAATTCCTTCAAGACTAGATTCAAGGGGCAGCTAGGTGGTGCAGTGGATAGAGCACCAGCCCTGAAGCCAAGAGGACCTGAGTTCAAATCCAGCCTCAGACCAAACACTTGACACTTACTAGCTGTGTGACCCTGGGCAAGCCACTTAACCCCAATTGCCTAAAAAAAAAAAAAAAAGACTAGATTCAAGTATCACCATTTACATGAAGCTTTTCCTGGTCCCCTTAGATGCTAGTGCGTCCTCCTCTAAAATTGTCTGATATCTGTTATGGCATACGCATACACACATATCTATACACACAAATATACATATATATGCGTGTGTGTATACACACTCCCTCATTAGAATGTAAATTCCTTGAGGGAAGACATTATTTTGATTTTGTCTTTGTGCCTCTAGCATTTAATTCAGTTTCTAGCACATAGTAGATGCTTAATGAATGCTTCCTTACTTTACTGATTCCTCCCATCTGCCACTCTTGAACATTCAGGAAGTTTTCCTGAAAGATGGACTGGTTGAATGTCAAACTGATTGAAGACTACCTACATTCCACATGTTGGAGGATGCTTCCAGGTCCTGGACTTTGACCTTTCCAGGCTTACTGGCTACTTTTTTTATTTTTTTAGGCAATCAGGGTTAAGTAACTTGCTCAGGGTCACATAGCTAGTTAAGTGTCAAATGTCTGAGTCCGGATTTGAACTCAGGTCCTCCTGAATCCATGGCCTGTTCTCTATCCATTGTGCCACCTAACTGCCCCCGCTACTTTCCACAAGGCTATGAAGAGCAAAAGACTTCAACAGAGAGTGCCCCGGAGAGAGAATGAATTAGTCCTTACCTGATGGAGTGGATGCTGTAGTTGAATGCTGAGTGGGCCGGGCTGCATTTTCAACTAGGTGAGGTCTTGAGGCTATAAAGACAGAATGTAAAGGTGATCATCCCAATCTCTCCCAGTTCTGAGTTTCTTCTTCCTGGGGAGCCCCTCTGGTATGGGACATCTCTTCTTTCTTCACCCTCACCTCATTCTCCAAATAGCTCCAACTTTCAGGACTCAGAGGTCCCAGGAGAAGGACAATGAGAGAAGGGAAGGAGAGAACTTGGTTCTTTTGCTCTGTGCCTCTTTGTGAATATCTGTATATGTGAACATTTGTGGGTGTCGGTATCTGTGTCAACTTGTGTGTCTATTATGTGTATGTATGACAACATATGTCAGGGCATGTGTGTTTAAATGTTTCTGCGGCATCTTGTCTCTGTGTTCCCTTACTCCCAGGCGCGAAAACTGGGTCGAGTCAGTAGAAGAAAATGAAAGTAATGCTGAGAGGAAGAGAGGGTGGGACAACATTGAGGTATCTGGAAGCCAAACACTGGGTGAGGAAGCTATGGCGGGGAAGAAGGAAGAGGATGGGGATAGTTTGGGATGGCGGGCAGGGGCCGGTGTGCCAGAAAAGGAGCCAGATCTGTAGTGGAGCTCAAGGTTGGGAACTTGAGCCTGGAAACTTGGTACAGAATTTAGAAAGTGGAATGGAAGAGGTTGGAACGGGGCCGGTTGAGGGTGGACTCCTGACTGAGGGGTGGGAATTGAGAGAAGAAAGCCTCACCAGACCCTACTGCTCCCTGGAGTCTCACAGCCTCCTCCCTCATGTGGATGTCCTGGAGCACCTGCACAGTCAGCTCTATCCCGTAGTCATCTAGGTAGCTACCGACGATCTTGTCAGTGAGACTCACGCGGTCCAGGTCGGGCAAGCTTCCCCGGGGAATGCGTTTGAAGTCGTCCCGCAAGGGCACCGTCAGCAACCTGCTTTTGAACCTCTGGAACTCATTTTCGGTCAGGTTGTCCAGAGCCTTCAGGATGAGTTCCCGGCCGCAAGACATGGCTCCCCCAGACTCAGCGATCTAACCCGCCTGTTTCGTATCTCACCACCCAGTTCCCTGGGCGGAACTGGGGTGGAGACTTCATAATTCTACTTCTCTTTCTGTTCCTGACTTTCTGTTTTTGTTTCTCTCTGCTTCTGCGCCAGGATGTCCGAGTCATCTGTCTCCCCCACTTCCACTCTTTTCGGGAACCCAGGAATGTCCTGGGAGGGGAGGGAGATGAAATAGCTAAGAGTATGGGCAAATAACACTAGCCAAGACATATAACACCCTACTCCGTTCCTCCGTGGCCCCTTCCTCCTGTCTTCCCTCACCTCACACCTTGTTGGGAATGGAGGTGTGGGTGGTAAATTAACAGGAATTTCGAGTCCCTAGGCTCTGGACTCAGTTTTGGAGAGTTATAGGGACCAGAGGGTATTATACATGTAAATGGCATATAGTAGAAAACTGGGAGTGGGGGTGGGGTGTTCAGGGCAGAGGGGAGGAATAGGAAGTAGATGGTCCTGTTTGGGTTCTGAGGAGCCAACCGTGGGACAGGGACCTCAGCCTTTATCATCATCGTCAGAGAGAGAGAGAGAGAGAGAGAGAGAGAGGTGACATCCTCCCTGTACCCCCTATATTTACAGTACTCGTAGCATATGGTACATAGAGTTACAGAATATAGATAGAATTGTAAAATATGAACTATCAAGTCAGAGAACATAGAATCTTGGAATATAGAAAAGGGCATCCTAGAAAGGACTTTTCTGGGATGCCATCCAGGCATCTAGGATGCCAACCTCTCTACTGGAGCACATGCCTTTTCTCTATCATCCACATTCTTCTTGGGCACTCCCAGCAATGGGATATAAGCCTAATATACCACATTTGAACTGTTTGGTTCCTGGTAATAGACTATTTCCACTTTTAAGGACCAACCTAGCTAAGCATTAAAGAGTCTCACAACCCGTGGTCTGACCACTTGGTGATCGATTCCTTGGCATTGGCAACCCAAGAAACAAAAGAAAGTTACAAAATGTCCCTCAATCTTAGCAGGCCCTTTCTTCTTCTGCAGTGACTGTGGGTATGTGGTGGGAAAAAGGGTAGAGAGTATTAAGAATCATGGTTTTTAGACAATCTGTAAACATTTACTTAGCTATTGTTACTCTAAAGATGAAATCTTCATTCAGTTGAATGTAAAAGAACATATTCTCAAGGAACTGAAACATAACGGTTTCCATTCTGGATATGATTAAAACAGAAAGTTCTACTACAAATATTTTTGTGTATATGGCCCTTTCTTTTGATCATTAACCTCATTGTGTTTATGTATAATAGCTGGCTCTCTAAGCCAAAATGAACCCTTTAATCACTTTCTTAGCATAATTCCAACTTGCTTTCTGGGAAGTCTCAAAGCTCTACCAACAGAGAAATTTGTGTTTATCTTTCATCAACCTCTCCAACGTGGTGTCCCATTTTTTGCTGTCTTAGCCTATTTGCTGGTTATAAGGAGAAACCTTAGTACAGGAAGGAGTATTTCTTATAGTAGCAAGGAACTGAGAATAACCTAGATGCCCACTGATTGGGGAATATAGCTTAACAAATTACTGGGTTGTAAGAAATAGAAGATATGATGAACACAAGGAAGCATGGGAAGACATATATGAAAGTAAAGTGAGAAACACGAATCAGGAAAACAATATCCACAATGACAATAATATGAATGGAAAAAGAGAACAATAAAAAAATTGAAATTGAAGGCTGTAAAATTATGAATAAATTTGTCCCCAAATAAGAGATAAACAAGTACCACCTTTCCTTCTTTGTGGGTGTGGAATCTATATATAATGTAGGTAGTGAGATAGCAAATCAATTAGAGAAGAATAAAATTGGAAATGTGGAGGCAAGGAAGCTATAACCAAATGAATCAGTACTGTCTTGCTTAATATCCTGTTCATGTAAACTTCCTTTGGTTAACTGTAAGATGGTCTTATTTCATTGCAGTCCTGAACTTGAACCCTCAGACTGGCCTAAGTTAGGGCTGGCTTAAAACAAGTGGGGACCAAATGGCAGGGAGGTGTTGTGTCTGTGTTGTGACCTCTCCTGTGCAGTTTGGATGAACTGGAGGCAGAAGTCAGGGGATTTGAGAAGCTGGAGGAATTGGGTTGAGTTGGTGTCGTTTGGAGTACTCGTCCTGTTTGGAAAACTTTTGAGTTACGATCTGAAGGACATTGATGCTCTTTCCCAATAAATTAATTTCAATGGCTATGAACAGGCAGTTCTCAAAGGAAGAAGTCCAAACAACCAACAACCATATAAAAATGCTCCAAATAACTAGTAATGAGAGAAATGCAAATTAAAGAAATTCTGAGGGTCCACCTCACATCTATCAGATTGACAAAGGTGACCCAAAAAGGAAAATGAAGAAAAAAAAAACCCAGAAAATGTTGAAGTGGCTATGGGAAAACAGGCAAACTAATGTAACTATTAATAGAGCTGTGAATTGGTCCAGCCATTCTGGAATGTAATTTGGAACCATGCCCAGAAAGTCACAAAATTGCATAGGACCCTTTGTCCTAGAACACTACTGGGCCTATACTTCAAAGAGATTAAAGAGAGAAGAAAAAGACCCATGTGCAGAAAAATATTTATAGTAGGTTTTTTCTGTTATAGTAAAGATCTAAGTAAGGATGTACCCATCAAATAGGAGAATGTCTATACAAATTATGATATCCAAATGTAATGAAATATTATTGTACCATAAGAAATGACAAAAATGATGGCTTCAGAGAAACATGAGAAGCTTTGTATGAACTGATGCACAGTGAAGCAAACAGAACCAGAACACTTGTACAAAAATATTGTAAAGAAAAACAACTTTGACAGTCTAAAGATCTCTGATTAGCGTAATGACCAACCATAATTTTAGAGATGATTCCGTGAAGAAGCATGCTACCTACCTAATGGGAGAGGTGATGGTCCCAAGACACAGAATAAGACGTTCATTTCTGGAAATGGGCAAGGTAGGAATTTGTTTTGCTTGATTATGCATATTAATCACAAGGACTTTTTTTCTTCCTTTTTTCTAATGGGAAGGGAGTTAGAAGGGAGAAGGAGGGAGTAGGACCAGAGCAGCAAAAAGAAGGAAGGAGAGAGAGATAGAGACAGAGAAAGATACAGAGAGAGAGAGGAAGAGGAGAAGAAGAAAGAGGAGGAGGAGGAGGAGGAGGAGAAGAAGAAGAGAGGGTCATTGAAGCATCTTTTTTTTAAATGCACAGAAGAGAACAGAAGGAAGGCTAGAAAGAATCACAGACAAGTAGGATAGATTTGAAAATGACATGTTGAATTTATTATATATTTAAAAGACAAGCAAGTGATGCACAATAGAGAGCTACAGTGTCATATAAATCCTCTTCATCTGTTATTTTATAGATGTGTTTGGTGTTTATTTGGTGTTTGTTAAGTTTAGCATAAACATTCTTTTCATTATCATTAAAATAAACAAAATCAAAATAAATATTACAATAAATAAAATTACTGTTAGAATAACAATCATTAAGATAAAACCATTTTTAAAAGGATTCACCTTGGATGGGGTCATTTTCCTCACCTCCTGAATGTCCTATCAATTCCTCCCCTCCCAAGACTGCCTGGGTTGTGGGGGATAATGGAGTGGGCCACAAAAACCCTCAGGACTGTAGGTAATATCAAGGCAGAGAGAATTCTAAGTTCTCATGCAATGCCTAGGATTTTGTTGGAAAACCTTTAGTTAGATCCTAGGAGCCAAAGGGCATGATACATTTTAGAGGTTATAGAACAAGGAATTCCCCAAAATTCAAGTGATTCAAACATGGACTGCTCTTGCTGCCTCTGCAAGATACTTTTAGTTTCATCTCCTCAAGGGGCCTTACCACTCCTGTGCTCCATGACCCTGTACTTGTTTTGCTGTGGGGACATCAACACATAGGAGATACCTGTCAGGTTTTAGGACAGCGTTCAGGTGGGCAAAACCCCCTGTTAGGTTCAGACTTGAGATCTACTCCCTCTTAGTTCAGGTTTAATGTTGGGATGAAATGAGGCACTCATAAGTCATTGAACAGTTAACAAAAGGAGGGTTACTTATTTCTAAAACAGCAAGGATATGCGACAAGGAGCTGAGGACACAGCTCCTATAGACATGCGCCTCCTCCATCTTCCTATGGAAACAGGTATGATCAGCAGGATATGATATGGTAACCCTTGTGGTCTTCAGACATCCACCAGGTCAAAGGGGTCTGGATTCCTAGGTGACCAGTAAGCTATATCAACATAGCCAGTTATACAGCCATAAGTAGCTGCTGTAAGGGAGATCCAGCTTGAATCTTGACCCCACCCCCCTGTACCAATCAAGGCTGGCTTCAATGTCTTTACCTTACCCACATTTAGGGGTGGGGATTGAGGATCTGCTGAATTTTGGTCCTATCACACCCCCTAGACTCAAATGCCCACTCCACTACCTTCCTCCTCCTTTCTCCTTTTACCCAATTCCTCTATCTCATACCTATATGGTCTCATAGACTGTCCCTAGTCCTGCAATATATAGTATGCCTTTCTTAAAGAAGCCTATGATTAAGTTAGCTTCTTTCAAATCTCTCCTAAAATCCCAACTTCTGCAAAAAATCTTTCCTAGTCCCCCTCTTAAGACTAGTGCCTTCCCTCTGTTAATTATCTCCAATTTATCAAATACATATCTTGTTTGTACATAGGTGTTTGCATGTTGTCTCCCCCATTAGATTATAAGCCCCCGAGAGTATGAATTGTCTTTCACCTATCACATAAAAGATGCTTTATAAATATTTCATGACTAGACTTCTTGGTTTCTGTATCCCAAAGGGGATTCACATTGATTGTGAGTTTACTAAACCCTCTGGATCTTTCTCAGATGAACTGCTATCTGACTATGCCTCTCCCATCTTATATTTGCAAAAAAAAAATTTTAACTTAGTGTAAAACCTTACATTTATCTGTATTTGGTTTTTTTTTATTAGCTTTGTCCCACTGTTCTGCCTACCTAGAGCTTAAGGAAAAAAAAGTGTTATTTCTTATTTTGT